GCGGGGTACCGACGATGGGTGCACAACGAGCAGAGGGCCCACTCCAGCAGATTCGCTCAGAAACCAAAAACTCTGCCTTCTCTGAACTCATCCACTGTCGCATCGTTTGCGAGCAAGGATTGCCGCAAGGTCGCGGCACGCTCGGCAAACGCCCACGCACCAGGATCCAGATCTGCGTCGGAAAAAGATTTGGCGCAAGCCTCCCAGGATACTTCGGGGGCTCGCAAGGGTGTGGCAATCTCAAAAAAACACTGGATTCCCATGCTGCTGGAAAATTGTAATCCCTGGCGCTCGTAGCTGGCAGTTCGAGGGTGGTGAAATTCAAGTTCCCGTCCTTCGCATCTACGTCCACCAGCGAACAGAAATTCACGTGCGGAGGGTCCGGGAAATCGACGTCCAACGTGATAACCTTATGTCGGGCGTGTCCCCCTACAGGGGGATTTTCGATGAAAAAATTCAAAACACCCCAAAAATACACCGAAAATGTCAAAAATACACCCAAAATAATCCCCAGACTATTTTTGGACTATTTGTTTGACCCTTTTGGCGGTATTTTTTATTTTTCGTCGACAATCCCCCTGTAGGGGGACAGGCCCGACTTAATGAGAACCTCTAGCTTCTGGTAATCTGTTTGGGGAGAAAAAACAGCCTCTCGCGGCAGACGACCAGGCGCTGAGAGCCGGGGGCGACGAGCCGCCAGGGCGCGGCACCTGGGCGACAGCCGAGGAGCCGCCTGGCACGCCACCAGGCGAAGCGGCCTGGCGACGGACATCTCTGGCGCACTCGAGCTCAGTCGACAAGAACCCATCGGGGATGGACAGACCTCCCTTTAGTAAAACGTGGTTTAGTGAAAACGGCCTGAGGCCCAAACCTGGCGGGCGCAAGCCTGGAAAATAACGGCCACGGCGCCCTCTCGAACCGAAAACGGACAATTCACTAATCGACGTGTCACTGTTAGGGATTCTGTCCACCCCCGAACCCAGGGGCAGACCAAAACCGAGCTCGATCGAAGAGAACCTAAGGGTTCCATCGAGCTCAATCGACAAGGACCCAGGGGCACACCAAAACAGCCAGAAGGCACCCTTCGGTGCACACCCCAAAAGCCCAATGGAGAGAACGCACAAAACAAGCACGCTAAAAAAAATGAGAATCCGACCATCCCTCAGACCCTTCTGCCTGGCTGCCCTCGAACAGCGGCGCCGGCGCCGACCCTCAATCGCACCTTTTTCATCGTTCCCTCGCCTCCCCCAGACACATCAGCACCCGCCACCGTCGAGGAAAAACAGAATCGTGTCTCGGGCGATATACATTACTGTACTGATCAAGGCTCACTGTTCTTCCTCCTGGGCCTTGTCAACGCAAAGGCAAGCGGACTGCGAAAGTACCAGAGAAAGGCCGCTGATTGATGGTACAAATTAATGGAATGAGCGGCGTCACACGGTGCAAGCATACCGAAAAGTACGGAGGAAACGTGTGTCGAGCTACACCACTCACACACGACGTCCAGAACGTTGAAGGAGGCGGCCAGAAGACAGCAACTCTGCATTCAAAGGCTCTTAAGCCGAAATAGCTGCACGTTGTGGTAAGAAAGGTTATGTCTGGGATCATGTGTGGGTGATAGTGATGATGACGGTTGTTGTATCCACCATTGATGGCGAAAACGATGGGGCTGGCGAGGGTGACAAATGCTAATGGTAGTGATGGTCATGAAGTGAGCCTGTGCGTGTCAAAGTGACCATATTTCTCTTGGAAGCAGCTTTGCGAAACCATGCGTACGACCGCGATAATCAAGGCGAGCCACCATACCACTCGACTATCATTCGCGCACGGAAAATTCGCGGAACAAGGGTTGGCAATGAATAGCACCTCATGTTTTCCGTTCGGCCGAAAGTCCACCTTCTGCACTCCCTAATGAAGTGTCCTCGCTCCCCAAACATCAGTGTTGTTGGCATCAACTAGAACTTGAACTTGCGAACTGAGCATGCAAGAAACTTCAGCAGCAACATCGTGATTTCTTTGGTGAGCCATTGGGACAATCCGCGCACTGCATGCTTGGTCTCGATGTCGCGATCAAAATTTCAATGAAGGAGGAGCAAGTGGCTCTAAGTATTCGATACCAACAATGATGATTCATTGGCAGCTCTGTTCGCGGCAGAACCACTTTCTGGTGTTTCTTTAGCAGGACCATCGGGAAGCCTCATATAGTGTATATAATGGGGGATGGGCCACGAGGTGTGCGAAATCATGAGCCCGGCATGTTTCCACCACGTTCAGCGCGTCAGCAATTATTAGCGTGCCAACGCCAGTCGATCCTCCTCCTCCTCCTCCTCCGGCGCACTGTAGCATACCTTCGCGCTTCGCTGGGGCAAAGAATTCCAGCGTACGCTTCCGAGGCACTGCAGGGGAGCGTCTGCACGAACCCCGTTCTAATGCACATGTGTTTCACGTAGCCAGTTTTCCTGCCGATGCGCCGTCCAGGCGCGGCTCTGTGTGAGTGTGTGAGTCAACGCCTCGATCGCGCGTCCAATGTGTATACGCCCTGCGTGTTCTCTCAATGTCCCTCCCCTTTGGCCTGTGGTGCGCCTTCCCCAGCGGGGGGCCTCCTGGGCCTGCCCACTGGCCCCTCCCCAACGGTGCAGTTCAGGTGGGCAGGAGGAGGGGCAGGAGGAGCAGGAGGAGCGGGAGCAGGACACGTAGGCAAACGGAGGTCGATGACGAAAAGGCTCCCGACACGCGAAGCGCTGAGCTGTTCGCATCTTGTCCCACCAAGACAGGAATTACGACAAAGCCAACACACAATAAGACAAATTCGCCCGCCCAACGGGCCAAAGGCGTGCTAAGATCTCCTGTAACTGCTCAACAATATTTCTAGTTCGCGCGCGCGGGGCGGGCCCTGGGGGTCCCCGGACGAAAAGTACCCCGGCAAGGTCCCGGCAAGGTCCCGGTCCCGGCAGACTCCCGGCAAGGTCCCGGCAGACTCCCGCCAGACTCCCGGCAAGGTCCCTTGTCGGAGCCCAGGAGGGCTCCAAACGGTCCAAGAGAGGCCCGAGAAGCCCTCCAGACGGTCCAAGAAAGCCGGGAGACGCCGAAATATCACTCCCAAACGCCTGCGATGGCCTCAAGACGGCCCAACAGGCCTTCAAGACGCCCCAAGAGGTCCCTAAGCGGCGTCCCAAGAGGGCTCCCACAAGCAAAAATCGTCCCATTCCCTTAGGAAAGCGTGCATTTTTAACATATCCGCCTCTTCGTCTTTCACACCTTTCAAGGCGGTCCAAGAGGCCCCCAAGATCACCCCAAGACGGCCCGAGAGACCCTCAAGACCGCTCAAAGACGGCCCAAGAGCGCTCCAAGAAGGCCCAAGAAACCCTCAAGAACTCTTCTTCGGAGCCCAGGAGGGCTCCAAATCGGTCCAAGAGGGGCCCGAGAAGCCCTCCAGACGGTCCAAGAGAGCCGGGAGACGCCGAAATATCACTCCCAAACGCCTACGATGGCCTCAAGACGGCCCAACAGGCCTTCAAGACGCCCCAAGAGGTCCCTAAGAGGTCCCTAAGCGGCGTCCCAAGAGGGCTCCCACTAGCAAAAATCGTCCCATTCCCTTAGGAAAGCGTGCATTTTTAACATATCCGCCTCTTCGTCTTTCACACCTTTCAAGGCGGTCCAAGAGGCCCCCAAGATCACCCCAAGACGGCCCGAGAGACCCTCAAGACCGCTCAAAGACGGCCCAAGAGCGCTCCAAGAAGGCCCAAGAAACCCTCAAGAACTCTTTTTCGGAGCCCAGGAGGGCTCCAAATCGGTCCAAGAGGGGCCCGAGAAGCCCTCCAGACGGTCCAAGAGAGCCGGGAGACGCCGAAATATCACTCCCAAGCGCCTACGATGGCCTCAAGACGGCCCAACAGGCCTTCAAGACGCCCCTAAGAGGTCCCTAAGCGGCGTCCCAAGAGGGCTCCCACAAGCAAAAATCGTCCCATTCCCTTGGGAAAGCGTACAGTTTTAACATATCCGCCTCTTCGTCTTTCACACCTTTCAAGGCGGTCCAAGAGGCCCCCAAGATCACCCCAAGACGGCCCGAGAGACCCTCAAGACCGCTCAAAGACGGCCCAAGAGCGCTCCAAGAAGGCCCAAGAAACCCTCAAGACGGTCCAAGAGGCCCCAATACGGCCCCATGATTGAGGTCCACAGGGGCAACCTGAACTGAAATTTTGAGCCTCCCGCCCAAACACGCCCCCGAAATGCCCCTACAAGCCCCCAAGTAGCCCCACGAAGCCCCCAAGAGAGCCCCAAGAGGCCCCCAACTGGCCGCAAGAAAGCCCCAAGAGGCCCCCAAGAGACTCCCAGGAAGCTCCCAGGAGGCCCCCAAGAGGCCAGGCAGACCCCCCCAAGAGACCACCAAGAGGGCCCACCCAGAGCCATCCACGAGACCTCCCAAAGTTCCCAAGAAGCTCCCACGAAGCTTCCAAGGGCTCCCAAGACCCCCCAAGACCCCGCGATGGCACAATACGGGCCGGCGGAATGAGCGAAGCGATTCAATAACACAACAAACAAACAAACAAACAAACAAACAAACAAACAAACAAACAGCAAAACAAAAACTTCAAACCCAGCACAATGTGTGCCGTGAAGGGCCAGAGCCAAACTCAACACCAAAACTCAGTGCCTAGCATGTGTCCAGTGGCTGGATTGCCTTGAGGCACGCTATGGGTGGCCTCCGTGGTAATCAGTCGCGGGGCGAGATCCTGGACGATGCGAGGCATTATGCTTTTTATTTCGAAGGGGGGCGCGTCGGGGTGGAAGCAGTGAAGGGAGCAGACCCTCGGGCGCAGCGAGGCAGATTTTGCGGGGGGGGGCTGGGACCCAGGCACGCACTCGAGCATCAAACACGCCGCACCCCCCGCGATCCTGATGAGGGGCGCGGGGTGCTTACGCGCGGCTCCTAGCAGATCCCCTCCCTCGTCCACACCAGCGCGTTCCCGTCAAAGTATCAAGCCGTGCCGCCATGTTAAGGCAAGGGAAGGTGGGAATTTGCGGGGCCCTCTGGCTCGTTCGACCTGGCTAAACTGGCAGTTCCATCGACTCCTGTTCCTGGTGCATCTCCCTCCTTCTCCTCTCCTCCTCCTCTGGCCGCTCCTGCTCCCATCCTCATCTCCTTCCTCCCCTCCTCCCCCCCATCCTGCTACTCCTTCTACCTCCTCCTCCTCCTCCTCCTCCTCCTCCTCCTCCCGCCTCCGCCCCGCTCCGCCTCCGCCCTCCCGCTCCTCCTCCTCCTCCTCCCTCCTCCTCCTCCTCCTCCTCATCCTCCCCTCCTCCTTCCTCCTCCTCCTCCCCTCCTCCTCCTCCTCCTCCCTCCTCCTCCTCCTCCTCATCCCTCCGCATCCTCACCTCCTCCTCCTCTCCTCCCCTCCTCCTTCCTCCTCCTCTCTCCTCCTCCTCCTCCCTCCTCCTCCTCCTCCCTTTCACCATCCTCCTCCTCCTCTCCCCCCCTCCCTCTCCCCCCCCTCCTCCTCCTCCTCCTCCCCTCCCTCCTCCTCTCCTCCTCCTCTCCTCCTCCTCCTCCTCCTCTCTCCTCATCTCTCCTCTCCCCCCCCCTCCTCCGCCTCCTCCTCTCATCTCCTCCTCCTCCTCCTCCTCCTCTCCCTCTCATCCTTCCTCCTCCTCCTCCTCTCCTCCTCCTCCTCCTCCTCCTCCTCCTCCTCCTCCTCCTCCTCCTCATGCCCCTCCTCCTGGCCGAGGCGGCGCCTGACCCCGGGGGCCGCGCGTGGACCGCCAGGTCGACGGAGGACGCCGTGCTGCCAGCGCTGGGCGAGCGCCTCGGCTTCGCGCGCGCGCGAGCGCGACCCGTCGTCGCCGCAGGCCGTCGTCGGCCCCGACGCTACCGTCGGCCTCCTCGTCGTCGTCGTCGTCCTCGTCGTCGTCCTTGTCCTCGTCGTCGTCGTCGTCATCGTCGTCGTCGTCCTCGCGGGCTCGTGGACTTCTCCTCGCGGGCTCGTCATCGTCGGCCTCGCGGGCCTCGTCGCTGCAGAAGGGGCAGGGGGCAGGAGGGCCCATTGCTGCGCGAACGACGCGCACAGTCGGACTTGATCGGGCAGGACACGCGAGAGGACACGAGGCCCTTCCGAGGGCCACGTCGACAGAGGAGTGTAGGGGGCATGGGTCGCGAGGCACAGGACACAAGGGTACCCTTGATCTGGCAGGGTCGACCTACCAATCAAGGCCGACTGTATGTGTGTGTGTGTCTGTTGCACTCTTCAGTGTGCGACGGTTCGTGCACTGTGCGTTCGACGATGCCCGATCGCAATTAGGACTTCCATCTGCTGCCCGCGCTTGAGGACCCTCTGCGCCGCCGGCGTTCAAAGTGTGTGTGTATGGTGTACGTTGTGTGCTGTGTGCTGTGTGCTGTGGTGCTGTGGTGCTGTGGTGCTGTGGTGTGTGGTGTGTGGTGTGTGGTGTGTGGTGTGTGGTGTGTGGTGTGTGGTGTGTGGTGTGTGGTGTGTGGTGTGTGGTGTGTGGTGTGTGGTGTGTGTTGTGTGTTGTGTGTTGTGTGGTGTGTGGTGTGTGGTGTGTGGTGTGTGGTGTGTGGTGTGTGGTGTGTGGTGTGTGGTGTGTGGTGTGTGGTGTGTGGTGTGTGGTGTGTGTGGTGTGGTGTGTGGTGTGTGGTGTGTGGTGTGTGGTGTGTGGTGTGTGGTGTGTGTGTGTGTGCGTGAGTGGTGAGTGGTGTGTGTGTGTGGTGATGTGGTGGCTGCGTGTGTGGTGTGTGGTGAGTGTGTGTGTGGCACGTGTGTGGTGTGTGGTGTGTGGTGTGTGGTTGTGTGCGTGCGTGCCGTGTGTGTGCTGTGTGTGCGCCCCTTGGTGCGTGCGTGTGGTGTGTGTGCGCGCGCGCGTTGCGTGGCGTGCGTGCGTGCGTGCGGTGCGTGCGCGGGATTGCGGGTGCGTGTGCGTGCGCTGTTGCGCGTGCGCGTGGCGTGCTCGTGCGCGTGGCGTTGGTGCGTTGTGCGTTTTCTGCGCGTGCGCGTTCCAACGCGCGCGTGTGCGCGTGTGCGCGTGTGCGCGTGTGCGCGTGTGCGCGTGTGCGCGTGTGCGCGTGTGGCGTGTGCGCGTGTGCGCGTGTGCGCGTGTGCGCGTGTGCGCGTGTGCGCGTGTGCGCGTGTGCGCGTGTGCGCGTGTGCGCGTGTGCGCGTGTGCGCGTGTGCGCGTGTGCGCGTGTGCGGGTGTGCGGGTGTGCGGGTGTGCGGGTGTGTGGGTGTGTGGGTGTGTGGGTGTGTGGGTGTGTGGGTGTGTGGGTGTGTGGTTGTGTGGGTGTGTGGGTGTGTGGGTGTGTGGGTGTGTGGGTGTGTGGGTGTGTGGGTGTGTGGGTGTGTGGGTGTGTGGGTGTGTGGGTGTGTGGGTGTGTGGGTGTGTGTGCGTGTCTGTGGGTGAGGGATCGGGGTGGAACCGTGACGGGAGTCGGGAGGGAGGAGGGAGAGAGGCGAGAGGAGAAGGAAAGGGACGGAGGGAAAGGGAGAGAGG